GCCCAGGCCATTCTATGATTCCATCAGTGACATGGGCTAAAGCAGTCACAGACATGGGCTGATGGTTGGACTAGACGAGCGTATTGGTCTTTCCAATCTTAATGATTCTATCATCACGCACAGGGGCAAGGCAAAGGTGGTCACAGCATCTGACTTTTTTAACTGTGGGTTATAGTTCTGGAAGTGAGTCCTAACTGACAAAAAGCAACTAAGGGATGCTTTCTTTTAACCTCAACATCCAGGCAGCAGCAATGCAGACTTCTTCATATATGCTGATGGAATACATTGCACTTGCAGTTTGCTTGCCTTTCCTCAGTTCTTGAACCCCCTGAGCTGAACAGTACTTCACTGTTCACTTTGAAAGTGGAAGCAAAATTTGTTCTGTCCACAGAATCACAGAATCATCTGAGTTGGAAGGGACCCCCAAAGGCCATCTAATCCAACTCCCCTGCAATGAACCAGGACACCCACAGCTAGACCAGGGTGCTCAGAGCCCCTCCACTCTGACCTTAGATGTTTCCCGGGATAGGGGTCCACCAACTCTCTGGACAACTCTCTGCCAGTGTCTCACCACTCCTACCAAAAAAACTTTTTTTCTGTTTAGTGAGGTGCCTGAAGATTCAGAGCAAAATGCATATTGGAGATGATATTCCAAAGCTGGTTAGGGACAGTTTGCAGTCAGGTGGTGTCTGCATAAAGCTGGCAGCTTCCAATCCTTGGAGCCAGCATTCTCGACTTGGAACAGTGTTGTGATAAAGCATCCAATATGACAGAGTTTGTAACTGGAGAATCCTAAATAGCAAAACATGCAAAAATGTCTTCTCTGCTGCTTTGTCCCAGTGCTTACCTTTACTTCAGACAGAAATGAGGCCACTCGGTTTTTAATGCTGCCTCCTTTTTTCCTGATAGACATGCTGAGCAACTAGGTCACCAGGATGGACTATCAAGGATTCTTTTTTATTTTATCGTTTAATCACCAGATGGTGAACAATGTAAGCTGATTCTTTATTGCCCCTTTCTTTCACAGCTATTAGGGAAGAGGCTTACCTGGTAGACTTGTATCAATGCTTTTGCCTTGAGTTTTCTCAGGAGGTTCATAAGGAGTAACATGCAAAGCAATCACGGAGTTAGACCTGGGCTAAGAGCAAACAACTATCAAACAATAAATAGTACTGGTGTTGATTTCAAAATGATTTGCTGGTTTGTTTTTAAGGAACAATGCAACAAAAAGCTCTTGGCAGTTGGTTACTCCCTCAGACCTTGCTTTTTTTCCCTGCATTTTAGTATGTATCTTTCTATGTAATGCTGACTTTGAAAAAGTCTGTGTTCATGTTTGTATCTGTTATTTGCCTGTATTAAAGAAATGCGTGGGATGAAAGTGAAGAGCAATTCTGTGCAAGACATACAATCAATGAAAATAATCCTTCAAAGCCCTACTCAGACTTCTGGGCAGAGATCTTTCATACATAGTTTTGGGTCTTGAAGACATAACAAAATGTTACAAGCAAGAAGCTCTTTCCAGTTCTGTACCCAGGCTGCTGAACTACTAGTGCAAATTTGATTTATTTCCTTCATGTGCTTTTGTATTATGCTGAAATGCATTTGTTTGCCGGGAATCATTCCATGAGTGGAAGTTCTTTACGCATACATGCAAGCCGCAACTCCTTACAAGAGAAAAGCTTGGGGTGCTAATGTATCTATTCCACTATTTGATTACAGCAAGAAATTCGACCAAGTCTTGTTTTGGAAGACATTTTCTTGTCTGTTTTCACTTTGATTTCCAGAACATTCTTCTCTTTTTTTTAAATAAAGTTTGGATTGAGTATTCCTCAGAGACAGTGAGTCCTAAACCTAGGCAGGATCACACAGCCTCATATTTCAGCCATCTGATCTTTATGCCAAGGATTTCTATGAACCAAAGTATTCAGCCTATACATGATATTCCACTTAGTAACTACTGGCATGGGTCATGAAAGGAAAACATAGCAGTTAAATGTCTTGGGCATGTATCACCATAATTCTGTCACACACACAGATATGAGGTCAAAAGCCTCTCACTGGAAAGGATGCTGGAGTGACTCCGGGTTACAGATGCCACAGCAGAACTTGGTTAGCTGACCGCCCTGACCCTGGTGAGGAACTCAGCACTCACATAGGGTCAGTTTTGCCTGTATTAAATTTGAATAGTCAGTGGGAAAAAGCAGCAGTCTTGTTTCCTTCTCACAGGACTGACTTCTCCCTGCAATACCTGATTGAAGCGCAGGTGGATATAGCATTTTTACACCTGTTTTGCAGACTTTTTGTCTTGCCCTTGAGCCTATTATGAAATCTGGGCCTGATGGTGTCAGGCAACTCAAAGTCTTAACATCCATCTGTTAGTGGTAAAGCCAGTCTGCCTGGCTCAGTTATTAGGATTAGGGCGAAATATCTTGTGACTTCAAGATATGCTCTCAACTTTGTTGTCATGAGCCCTGGTGTAAACAACAACATGCCTTGCCCTTTCCCTCTCCTCCCACTGTAGCCATCAGTCAGTCACACACTGGGACATTTCTGACCTGCAGGGCCAGATGCAGCTGCACTTATCATTCAGTAGCCACGTTGCCTTGGGGAGGATAAAACAGTGCGTTAAATGTAAGCTTTATTGTCTCTGCCAGTTTTACTGATAAGGAAAAGTTATGAGCTAGCTTGCTGCAAAGGCTGAGCACAAATTATTATTTCATTTCAGTTAACAGTGGTTCTCTAAAGAAAGGCCAATAATGAAGGCCAACCTGAGACACCAGTTAAACTTAAATTGTGCCTGTATGTCCTTATTAGACATGGACATTGATCTTCTTGATTGACTAGAACAAATGTAAAGGCTGTACAATTATTTTCCTGGCTAACATTGCAGAAGACACAGGTGATGAGAAATGAATGACATTTCTTCATGGTGAAAATCTCTACAGTAAATAATTTTCCTCAAGATTTGCAGAGTGGACTATAGCTTCATATTCTCTGGACAATGAGGAACTGAAACTAAAAAGGTGGTTAAGTGCTAAGTACTACAGTGTGTAGGCCTGTACACTGGAATCTTCAAGCAAGAATTTGGTGCCTCATTGCCTTGGTCTCTCTCTAGAGCAATAAAGAAAGCTGGGTACTATAGATGGCTTTCAATCAGCCAGTGTGCTATGTGGAACGGCAGTGCTGTAAATAAAAAGAAAATACTGTTTTAAAGCCATTCTTTTCAGGAGTACTTTTATAAGCTAGTTTACTTGGTGGGGCATCCCTTTCCCCTGTCTAAGCTAGTCCTGAGCACCAGAGGCTTCGGCAGTTGCTGGCCTGTGCAGAAAGCACACCAAATGGTCCCTGAGCCACTGCCCCTGGTGCTTGTTCCAAGCACTCTTTGTGCAAGTTTATATGATACAGCTGTTTAATTAACAAAGGACAACAGCAGCCATCACAGCAAAGATCAGAGTTTGTGTTTTCTTCACTCCCATCCAAAATGTATGAAATATATAGTAAATAATGTATTTGTAAGTAAAAACAGTCCTGTACATGGCAGTCCACCTGTAGCCTGTCAGTCTTCTCCAAAGCTCTTACAAGCTTCTCTGAGATGATCGCCGCCATGCGTCATGCAAAAACTAGGACAAAGTAGTACAAACATAGTTATTTAAAATGCTGCCTTCTTTATGGACACAAGCAGATTAGGCTGTTGCATTTAATCTCATTTAACGTCTCCAAAGGCTGGACTGGAGCATCAGGGCTGACAGGTGTTCTCTTCTCTAGGAGCCACTACTGCTGCCTGAACAGGACCCTTGGCTCTTGAAAGGGCAAACAGTGCACCCTGCATTCATCAGAGGCTGCATTCATAAAACCTACAGCAGGCTTTGGTCTTTGAGAATGCAACAACTGTCCACATGGTTCTTGTCTTAAGTGTCATTGTCCACAGGAAGGGGAGCTCTCTGTCTCCCTAAGCAGCAGGGCTTGGTTTCATCTCTGAGGCAGCTATTAATGACTGCCAGCGTTCTGCCCTCCGTGCTTCCTGGGAGGAAGGGCGAGGGCAGCACACAGCTCCTTTGGCAGGAAGCGATGGCAGCCCCGTCAGGCATTGCTGCCCAGCAGGTGTGTGAGCCTGCTCGTTGGTAAGGCCACTCAGCAATGAGCAAGACATCGGTAACAACTGCTTCAGCGCTGCGTTCCTCAGCAGGTGCTAACCGGGCCTTGTAATGCCACAGGTACTCAATGCCTCATACTTGCCCTGAGGCCAAGATGGCGGCGGGGGGCAGTGGGGGAGGCAAGATGGCGGCGGGGGGAGTCTCACCCCTGTCACTGAGCAGGGTACCGGGGCTAGGAGCAAATTTAAAGCTTCCTCAGCAGCAGAACAAACAAAAGACGGGTCCGCCGTGATACGCTGCCTTTACCCATCTCACTCGCCCCCATCCAACCACCCCCCGCGGAAGCCCCACACACCGCCCAGCCCTAGGGGCGGCTCGGGGGCAGGGCTTTGTGAGGAGGCCGCGCCCATCGCCGTGGATTGGGGGGGGGGGGGTCAGCCCGGCTCGACGCCGCTCTTCCGTAAACACCACCCAGCCCTCTGGCCGGCCTTCCCCCGGTCGGGCCCATTCCGCACGGGGGGGGGGGTGGGCGCGACGGAGTTTTTCCTCCATCACCTCCTCTTGCTCCTCGCTTAGTGCTCGGCTCCGGGGGACACACATTGTTTCTGTGGGGATGAGGAGGAGATGACCTGAATCTCTCAGGATAGCCGACAGCTGACGGGCAGGAGTTACTTCCCCCCCTACACTCCTTTCCCCGTTCCCGTCACAGATGGGCGCGCCCGAGGAAGGCACTCATAGTCCGGGCTGCTACATAAACCCGGGGGGGTGTTTAAAACCCCAGCGAGCGTCGCACGGGGAGTTGGGCTGCTCGTGCTGCGGGGCTGCGGTAAGTGAGCAGGAACGGGCAGCTGTGCCGTGTGGTGGCTCTGGGGCGGGGGGCTGCGGGGCGAGTCCTGCTCCGAGGGTCGCTGCCCTCCCGTGTGGTGCGGGGGACGGCTGTCCCGCTGTCCTTCGGGGGTATCCCCTCTCACGGGCACAGCCGCGGAGTTCCGTGGGCAGCGAGCAACGGGGGCACCCGGGGACGGACGCTGAGGTCAGGACAGCCGGGCTGGTGGAGCGGCTCGCCCTTCCCCGTCTTTCCTCCTTCCCCCCCGGGCCCGTCCTTGGTAACGCTGTTTGTTTTGGTCGAGCAGTGCCAAACTCTGTTAAAAACATGGGGCCGGGGGAGGAGACAGGCGGGGAGGAAGAGGAGGAGCCGGTGGCGGGAGCAGAGCCGCTGTCTGAGGCCCCTCGGCTGTGCGGGGCGGAGGGCTCTGATCCGCCCTGCGTGCAGCCCTCGGGATGAAGGGAGAGCTCCGCGGGCGGAGAATCGAAGCTATCCGGAGTAACGCTCAACAAAGGCGCTTTTCTGCTCCTGTGCCCTGCGGCAGAGGGCTGACAGGCAGCGAGAAGGGAAACCCGAGCCGATGCCGCCTCGCAGATAGAGCATCAGCCCGGCGGAATGAGCGAGATAAAATCCCGTGCAGCGGTCCAGCTGGACGGAGCACTGAGAGGGGAGTGCGTATGGATGAAGGGCTCTGTTGAACAAAGCTGCACTGTGGAAAGGTGGTCTGTGAAGCTGTTATCTGAAGGAAAAAAAGCTTTCTGAACTTTTTTCCCCAGGTGCCTCCTAAGATAACGGCTAAAGGAAGCCCTCGGGAATAAAAAGTGTGTTCTTGAGAACTAATCACACCTTGTGATCTTGGGCACCTCCACAGCAGTCAGGTGGGGTGAAGGGTAACTGCAGGAGCACAGCTATACAATACCTCTGTACAGTGCACTTCTTTCCTATATGGAGTGATCCAGAGCTGCCTCAACAGCAGGGCCATCTGTGCAAGGGACGGTTGGACTAGATGATCTTGTAGGTCGTTTCCAACCTTGTGATTCTATGATTCCTTGTTATGTTAGCTGGAAACTTGCAGGTAGAAAAAAATAGACTAAAGCTTTATATGTGTAGAAGGTATTTTTAACTTGACATCACATTTAGGCTACAGTAGATTCCCCTACTGTGGGGAACATGTTTTAGCAGTGGGTTGGGCAGGTGGTCTGCAGAGTTCCTTTCCAACCCCTCAGATTGCGTGGGGAGGGGTAAATAAAAGTAACAAACAAGATGGGACTGATCAAAAGAAAGCACTCTATAATAAAATCCACTGCCAAACATATCATACCTAAAGTAAAAGCATTGTTTTTTAAAGCAGGAGGAGCAGAGCAAGTAGTAAGCACAGACGGAACCTTTGATAGAAAGGCTGTGTGTTAAAACAAGGCCCTAATATATAAAGCCTAATGAACATATTAAAAATTAGAAGATGGTGTTGTTTATTCAGGACAGAGAGTTAAAAAGCTCCTGGAAGGCTAAAGGGTTTTTTTTTTTTTTTTTTTAAATATGTAGGTCACTCTGAAAGCAATGCCTCCTGTTTATTTCTAAGGAAACTACAACAGCTACGAAGAGCACAATAAAATCAGTGAACAGAGTGCATTCTCAATAACAAAACACTATTTCTGAGAGTTTTTGCTGTCATTAACTGTGTCTCCATCAGCAACAAAAAGCGTGCTGCCTTTGTAATATTCTGTCCTCTGTAAAGGATGCACAGTATTTTACCATCCACCACCTTACTGTGCTTGCATCCAGTGCTTGGTCTCTGTAAACATTCAGCAAATGTTGATGAATGTCAATGAGTGCCATTTCTGTGCATGGAGGAATTCACTGACACACCTTTGCTTCACGCATACTTCTGTGTCAGGTGCTGGTCTGTCAGACTGCCCCTCTGCTGCCATCTGTCACATGGCAACAAAATGTAATGGGATATTAGTGGGAAGGTTTGACCTCTTGTGCCATACCAACAGCCACCTCTGGTGTTGTGAGCCAACATAAAACAGGAGGCATTTCTTTCAGGGCAGCCATCGTATTTCTTACTTGGAAACTGCATTGATAGTCACTTAAAATTACTTGTGAGCTTGGCCCTTAGTAACTTCTGAGAAGCATTAGGACGAGAAGCTCTTGCAGTGTATGTTATAAAGAATGGACTAGGTAGCTTGATCATTTATTGTGACTAATTAAAAAAGCCCTTTTTGGTTTGTATTTTGATGTTCTCAATGAGTGTTCTTTATCTTTAGCTGTTGGGTAACATTAAAACCTAGATGGCATTTTTGGATCCTGCTTGCATATTCATTTGTTTTCTTTGATGTGCTGCTGCCTTCTCTGTCTTATAAACTTCAAGTTTAGCAGTAATGTTCTGAATGTGCAGAGTACACCCATTTTCTTCCTCACCACTTGAGGCATTCTACTAGGAAATATATTTATTACAGCAAAAATTGCAGTGCTTTTTTTAATGTGCCATCTTGTGTTAGTTTGTTGGGACTTAAGTCTCCTAAAACACTCTTAACAGCTTCTTTGCTGCGTGTGTGTTTGTAAGCATGAATTGTAGGAGCAGGTACGTTCTCAGTGCATCAAAGTAAGTCATGGCTGTCTTTCAGATGCAACTATTTGTTGCTGAAAGATCCTTTGCTTTGGAGTACTGTGTAAGTACTTAACATTTATAGAAATCTAATTTTTGCCTTAACTATTTGAATTATTTTGAGCATAAGATTGTGATAGAAAATGCTGTCTTGCTTCTGTGGATGGTTTGGTACTGCGTACTGTTAGAAATGCTTTGCAAGTCTGAATATTTGATTATTTGAATATGTTATTAAAACTATCATATGGCTAAGGGAAAGTTCTTGATGTATAAATGCTGTGATATTTAATTTCTTTCCTTTTTAATATCTATTTGATCTCTTTCCTGTTCTTTTAATATCTAGACTGAAACAGTAGGCACACTGTGAAGGCAAGGGATTTACAAGACTTCTTGGGCCAGTACACAATTAACAACACACAGCAGTTTTTTCCATGGACCACATGCAACATTGACCTTCTGGAGGTTAGTTATTTGAATATGAATAAAGAGGTTTTAGGCATGATTCTAGCTAGGAATTTCAGTTCTGTGTTGATGCAGAAGCAATAGATGGGTGAATAACACATGCTTTGCAGGCTCAGAAGTTACTGTAAGCAAGCGGTTCCACATCAGGAACCTGCTGTGTATTTCTACGGTGAGGTTATTTGTCACAGCTGGTTTCTAGTCAGGTTTAGCTTTGAGATGTGTAACACAAGTACAGTAGAGGGGTTCTACTTCTGCATGACACAAACGAGTGACTCATTTCTAATTGTAACTTAAATGAATACCATTTCCACTGAAAATGTTTCTGAGGCTTTTGGCTTGCCAAGTTTCTTCGCAACTCTTTATTTTGCCTAGACAGTACTAGAAATATATATTTCAGTTTAAGTATGATAAAATCACTGTTTTACTAAAAGACTTCTAATATTATGTACCACAGCTAGAGGCTCTGAAGTGACCTGATAGTGATCTATGAGTATGTAAAGGGGAGCTACAGGAAAGAAGGGTACAGACTCTTCAATGGGGTCTGTGGTGATAGAACAAGGGGAAATGGCCTCGAGCTTAAAGAGGGGAGCTATAGGTTACATATAAGGAAAAAATCTTTTACAGTGAGGGTGGTGAGGCTCTACAGCAGAGTTGTGGTGAATGCCCTGTCCTTGGAAACTTCCAAGGCAAGGCTGGATCAGGCCCTGGGCACCTGATCTATCTGTGGTGTCCCTGTTCAGGGAGTTGAACTAGGTGGCCTTCAGAAGTCCCTTCCAGTCGTAAGGATTCTATGGTTGTATGGGCTAGAGCTGAAAGCCTTGAACCTATGACCTTCTATACACTGATGTAAAGCTGTCCTTGTTGATGTGATCCCCTTGAAAAACAGAGCAGAAAGGCACTCAAATGCATCATCTTTCCTCTTGGGGGCGGAGGAGGAAAGAAACACCAAACAACTATTAATCAACACAATTAACATGGGAGTATTCATCAGTGGAATAACTCAAGTTGTAAAGGTCTCTTCAGCATGAGCTGGTACCCAAGAAATCACTCTAAGCTGTAATTAAGAGCTAACAGAAGAGATCATAATCCTCATCCTCTTTCGTCTACCTCACAACCCCACAATAATTGATTCGTATAACTACATACAATGGTCAACCTTTTGCTGCCATAAGTGGCTTTTTCCAGGTTTAGTGGAGTTGCAAAGTGCAGTATTCTTTGCCTGCTGATGCTGTTTAATTGTAAGTGAAGTCATGTTACTTGCTGGCTGTGTCTTTTCATAAAGTCTACTACAGGGTACTACAGGGTACTTCATCAATGATGGTCCACTCCTTTTGGTATCTGGGCCAAATTCCTCTGGGAGTAGTTATGACTGTCTTCCAATTTCTCATTTTAATGCGATGATTAACATATTTTTACTTCCTGACTTAGAACTATTAATCATCTTCATTGAACAGTGCAACTGTCCAAGTTCTGTGTAGTTGCAGATTATCTGCCTGGGAGGCAGCTGCCTTATGAAGACAGCACAATGAAGCATGAAACTTCATAGGATGCTATTTGTCACGTACACTGAAGGTAGTGCTAGAGACTTAGTGTTACTCTTTAAATTAAAGCATAAAGACCTACCTGCCTTCTCACCCCTAGAGCAGTATTTCTGGGGTCTCTGCCATTTTCAGTCTGATTTTGAGCAAGGTAAAAAAAGACATCAGGCTGGGCTTCTTGAGGCATCATGTCAGAAATTTAGCACTCTGAACTACTTGCCCATTCTTCCCCAGCAACTTCTCTGCTTGCTTCAGTTGTTGCTCTCAGTGTCAGTCTGTGGCAGGAAGCTAATTGCTAAACATCACTTGATGGTGAAGTCAGCTGGGGGATGGTAACACCCTGATAAATGTCTTTATATTTTGAGATTGAGAGCTTCTGAAATTCTGGCAGTGAGCAATCAGGGGAGTTGCTATCACTAGTTGAGTTTTTTGTTTTTTGTTTTCAATTTAATCAATTTAAAGATCGATTATGTTAGAGATGGTAAAATATGGAATGGCAAAAGTATATAAATTTTGTACAGGACAGATACAATTTATTAATAACTGCATGGTGCTGCATATGTTGAGCCAGGTCGCTTTTGTAGCACTTTTTATAAGGAAGACAACGACTTGTTCCTTGTACACTGTAATCTGTACTCAACTTTCAAAACCAAAAAACATAGGAAGTGTGTTTGTCTTTCCAGATCTTGTTTAATTCACCAGCTAAAGGGAAGCACAATGCCTCTCAACGATGACCAGAACAGTGATTCAGATTCTTCTCGCCTTTCTGAAAGTACAGCTTCTTCTAGTGACTCTGAATATTCAAGACAGAGCTTTAACAGCGATTCTTCAAGCAAACCCAGTTCCCCAGCTTGTAAGCCTATTTCAACCTTACCTGTGCTTGACACTTAAGGATAGCCTATCCTCTGTCTCTTTCATGTAGTGGTCAAAGCCTGGGAGTCTGAATTTGTGTTTAAGGGTATTAAATGTAATGTGTGATATTGTCATGGCCATGGAGCAGCACATTTCTTTTTGTGTGGAGTATCACTGATAGCTGTGTCTGTGGAGGTGTCTCTGTTGGCTTCTTCCCTTTAGAAAATGCAAGGCAAGTGTGCCACTACCTGTATCCTAGTCTAGAGTTAATCTTGGTGTTGGTAGCAGTCTCTCACTTAACCAAACTCACTTTGCCCTTTATGTGCAAAGGGTGGATTTTGGGCCACACTGTTTGAAATGAAATCTTTTACAACATAAAATTAACTCAGTGTTACCTGAAGTTGCATGAGTTTAATCTATGATTTTAATATTTATCTGGTAAACACTAGGATTGAACACTCATTTGCACAAGGAAGATATTTCAGTACTGCGTCCAGGCCTGGGGCCCCCAGCACAAGAAAGATGCAGAGCTCTTGGAGTGGCTCCAGAGGACGGCCACTAAGATGATCAGAGGGCTGGAGCACCTCTTCTATGAGGAAAGGTTGGGGGAACTGGGCTTGTTTAGCTTGGAGAAGAGAAGGCTCCGGGGAGACCTCATTGTGTCCTGCCAGTGCTTGAAGGGAGTGTATGAACAGGAAGGGGAACGGCTGTTTACAAGGGTAGATAGCATTGGGACAAGGGGAATGGTTTTAAACTGAGACAGGGGACATTTAAGTTAGATATTAGGAGGAAGTTTTTCACACAGAGGGTGGTGACACACTGGAACAGGTTGCCCAAGGAGGCTGTGGATGCCCCATCCCTGGAGGCATTCAAGGCCAGGCTGGATGTGGCTCTGGGCAGCCTGGTCTGGTGGTTGGCGACTCTGCACATAGCAGGGGGGTTGAAACTCAATGATCATTGTGGTCCTTTTCAACCCAGACCTTTCTATGATATTTCCTGAATGAGTACTGATAAATAACACCTTAATTAAATGTGCTTAGTATTGGTGTCTGTAAGCATTCTCAAACCATGCATACCTGGTTAGTGTCCAAATAAGTGAAATCTTGCGTTAAAACAGGCTTATTAGTGGAGCAATTGGCAATTAGCTCTAGACTCCTAAAGGGTAATAATGACAGAACAATAATCACAGATATTAAATGGGAGAACTTGGCATTTAAAAGCAGGGATCTTAGAAATACTCCTGCTTTCAAATAAACTTCAGACATGTTTACATTCTTAATTCCTATTTGTTTAAGAAAGGGACTAACTTATGATGCATTCGCTATGGTTCTTTAGTATTTAGTTATTAAATGGGTAATGTTAGAACCTTGCCTGCAGGCAAGAGAAGCATTATTGTGTGCTCCAGATTACAGTGCAAGTCTGATATCTGTTATTGCCTGTGCTTTTCTTCTGGTGAGTCCTATAGAACAACTGGCAGGAAGTCTGTGGACTATAAAGTCCCATTTTGAAGGAGAGAAAATTATCCCCGTTAAGATGAAAAAATATAGAACAGCTTTTAAAAATGTGATGTTACCCACCCATCCACACACACACACACACCCGATAAGCTGGGAGTTTCCTGAGTTAGTGTTTTAAGAAGATATAAAGGCCTGGTAATCCTAGCTTCTTTCTTCCAAAGCACTAGAGTCCAATTAGCAAGAAGCAAAATTTCTTGCCTTGTTACTTGTGTACAAGGCTGCTAATTTTTAATAATACTTTGAATTGCACTTACCTACCATAGTGCTTTGTCTTGATTTTGTTTGATCCAGCAGCAAGTCCTCCCAAGATGGTTACATTTGATGAACTGATGGCAGCTGCGAGAAATTTATCCAACTTGACATTAGCTCATGAAATTGCTGTAAATGCAAATTTCTGTATAAAACACGAAGACTACCCACAGAACAGGTAAGGGCATGAATTTTGCACAAAGCAAGATGGAGATTAAAAAGAGAGGCAGCATTAAAGTAGCATTAAAGCAAACAAACAACACTACATTTTGAAAGGCTGCGGATGTTTCTAACACAACTCCAAGAGTCGCTGTCAAAGCTCAGAGCAAGTATTGCCATCCAACTGGCTTGATACAAATAGAGCATCTTATGCTATGTCTTACATGTCATGTGGAAGGTAAAAGGCTAATGTCACATGAATTAACATAGTGAAAATAACAAGGATAGGTTTGTTCTGTGTAGTTTAAGTCCTGTGGAGAAGGTGAAATAATGAGCTTCTGTGTAGCTGCTTATAGTAGCAATTTGGTCTCGTGACAATAAGGAAGATAAGGCTCATCATTAATTTATCTCTAATACTACACCGAAGGAGGTGTAAAAGGATCTGGAGATCTAGAGGAAGTGAGAAATACTTTCCTCATTGTAGGTGATTAAAATGTTCTTGATTACAGATGACTTTTTAACTTAAAAACCTCATCTCTTGAGAAAATTAACATGACAGAAAATGAAATTTTTAGTTGCAGAAATCCCTTAAGTGATAATTATATGATGGATGCATTTTTTGAGAAAGCTTAGCACATAACACACAAGGTTAGGACTAACAGAATAAATTTGGTAAGGAAAAAGGAAAGGCAGTATCTCTACAACTGCCTTTGAATTACCTGCAGCACTTTCTAACACAGTGTTTTGGGAAAGACTTCTTGGTGTAGGTCATGTTTTAGGAATTGATGGTCTACAGCACAAGGAAAGTATTTTTTCAGGTCATGTGACAGCTGGCAATGCCTTGTATGTTTCCAGCAAGTCACTGGGTTAACCCTAAAATACTCCTGCCAAGAATGAAGGCTCTTTAGTGGTCTTTCTCTCTGTCTGTAATTGACTTCTTCCACAGCTTAGCAGGCACAGTGAAACAAATAGTACACAAGGCATTTTGGGATCACCTGGAATCGGAACTGAATGAAGACCCTCCAGAATATGAACATGCTATCAAGCTCTTTGAGGAAATTAAGGAGGTAACTTTTTTTTCCCTTCCAGTATTTTTGTCGGGTCTGATTCTAGTAATTCACTGAAGGTTCTGTTAATTCACGGTGAAGCCAACATTTTGAGTTCCTGCTTTTAAAATGAAGCCATGGTTATACAGAATATTAATAATAAATTTATATTAGTTGTGATTATGGCTGCATGTCCAATCAGCTTTCAGTGCAGGATGGTTAGCTGCAAGTCAAAACTCTTCTCAAAGCTTAACATTTCCACTGGTTTCTGTCTGATTACACAGCCTTTTTCTTGCTACCTTAGATTGTGTCCAGTCTTAATCTATCCTGTTACAGCTAAATACACTTGACACTAAAACTAATCTTATTTTAACATGTTTACAAAGTGCTTCGTTTTTTATTGATAAGCTTTTCATGTTTTTTTTTCCCCTACTTTAGATTCTTCTTTCCTTCCTGGCTCCAGGAGCAAACAGGATTCAAAATCAAATTTGTGAAGTTCTGGACACAGATCTTATAAGGCAGCAGGCAGAACACAATGCTGTTGATATTCATGGGCTAGCTAACTATATCATCAACACTATGGGAAAATTATGTGCTCCAATAAGAGACAACGATATAAAACAGTTAAAAGCAACTGAAAATATTGTAGAATTACTGAGGTTGGTATTTGGGTGGTTTTTACACAGGAAAAAAATATCTCTAGTCTCATAGAGCATCTGGGCAGAGAAAGATGGTGGGGAAGGTCTTAAATAGTGGCATTTTTTAATTGTTCTCATACTGTAAGAAAACTTGTGCAGCAGAAACATTAAAGGCAAGAGGCAATTGCTGTAACATTCTGTGACTGGGATGTAATGTCCATCCTAATGCAGTGAGTAGAGTGCCTGAATTAAAACTACTGACTCTGAGTAGTTAAACACTGAACAGCAACAACACCACTTGAAATAATATGTTTCTGAGACTGCTGTTTCAGTCTTCTTCATTCTTTCAAAATTCAGAGGGCATATTCATTCTACCTTGAACTTTTAATTGCATGCTTCCTGCAAGTATTCAGACAAAAAAAAAAAAGTAACAGTTGGGACTGCTGCATTTAAATAAAAAGGAAAGAGGATCCTTCACCAAAATGAGAATTAAAGTGCTAATGAGGGCGTGCTTCACTTCTACTGATGAAAATCCATGGTCTATTCTAGCTTTCTTATTTTAAAATCTCTCTTTTTTTCAGGCAAATTTTCCATGTCCTGGACCTGATGAAAATGGATGTAGCAAATTACACAATTCAAAGCCTTAGACCATACCTCCGGCGTAATTTGGTGGACTATGAAAGAACAAAATTCCAGGAAATTCTTGAAGAAACACCAAGTAGGTGTCCTTGAAGCTGTATTTCATTTAAATCTCTAATATATATATATGTATATATATATATATATATATATATATATATGTATATGTATATATACACATACACATGTATATATTTAAGGATGTGTTAGAGAATCTCTCTCTAGTTAACTTAGAGGAAAAACTCCAGTAAGTGCTTGCTGATTTATTGTTAAGCATCTTTTGTCTGTTGGGTGTTTTCTGACTAATTAGTATTTGTCTAATTGAGTAGTATCTGAAAAACAAACAGCAACTCTTAGTGTCTGGAGACAAAGAGGCCTGGTGTTATATATTGAAAGATGAGACTTATTTTCTACCCAGCAAGTCTGTTAGTCTGAAGTAATGTGGAAAACCAGTTAGTGTGCCTGAAAAGTCAGAGGGGCAGAAGTTCTGAAATTTTTTTTTAATGCAAACTTTGAGAAAGCTTCTTTAGGTCACCTTGATCCACTGGTACACATTTTGCTTAATGTTGCAAAGCAGCCTTTAAGAGAACATTTTTAAAAGGAGAGGAAAAGAGTAAACCGGCTTCTTAAGTGTTGGCTTCTAAAATGGGAACCCTAAGCCGTTGATACAGCCGGCTGTGTTTATAAATGCAGCCTGTCAAGTAACTTAAAAGGGATTGATTTGCTGTTGATGCAGTTTCTCCTTTCACCTCTTCTTTCCAATTCTGTGACCCAACTACTCAGTGGCCTCCCTGAAAGAGGAAAAAGTGAATTGGGTCCTTGGAGTTTGAGGGTTTTTATCATTAATCTTGGCTGAAGTCCAACAGTTTCTTACTGGGTTTGTGCAAAGATGATCAGCTGAGATGGTCATGAAAAAAGCAAGGGAAAGATTGGCTTCTCTGAGGGCATAGTGTCCACCACATTTTCTCAGTATTCAGAAGTACATATTAACCTTGCTTACGTTATTCAGCTTTCTGCCTCAAGTTGCTGCTTTGATGGAATTATATGATATATCTGTGCTGATTTGCAATGCTTAGGTGCTCTGGATCTCACAACGGAATGGATAAAGGAATCCATAGAAGATGAATTGTCATCCATTTCCAATGAATCATCCTCATCCCCTGGTGCTGATCATAGTTCTAAATCAAGTATTAGTCCTACACTGGTGCTAAACAATGGCTACTTGAAACTACTACAGTGGGACTACCACAAAACAATTCCAGAGGTCAGTGTGTTCCGGTGTCTTCAGCTTTCTAGCTGTATGAAAATATTGATGCAGTATGATAATCATGCTATTAATGACAGCGAGTGAAACATTTCTCTTGTGGTTCTTAATCTTCTGAGTAGTAGATTTGGAAATTGACTAATTTTGTTTTCTGAACTGAGATGGGGCAAGTTCAATAACCAGAAAAGCTTGTTTTCTCTCCATATGGCTCACTAGCTCCACCCTAAGAGTAGTCATGCCTGTGGTCAAAAGCTGGACGTTGTACTGATGATGCTTGGCTTTCTTTATTTATATATACATACATATAGTTTTTTGGTTTTTTTTTTTGAGAGAGAGAGATTTGTCTGTAGTACCTTGTTTTCCCAAACAAATGGCAGAAACTGGAATTGGTGGGATCGGGTTGTGAATTGCTTACTCTATGACAGTCATTAAGAAATCAAAGCTTACTATAGTGGATATTCATAGTTTCTCTATGCATGTAAACTATTGCTTCAAGAATCACTGGTATTTCCCTCCAACTCCTGATTACCAACCTCTGCCACTTTAAATTAAGCCAGTGTGAAATTGTCTATCAGTCAAGGATAAAATTAGCAACTGCAGCAAGCATCTTAGCTGCTATTCTTAGTGGCTTGGCAGAGAATTGCTGGACTACATGGGGGTGCTCTTAGCACTCCCAGTCAGCAGAAGAAAAGGAAAATACCTTACCATTCTTCTACTGAGTCTGAATAAGAGCTCCACACAGGCATCTTCTGGTGAATCTAGACTGTTGAAGTATGAGATTACTATTGAGCAGTTGAATATTAATGCCCAGCTCATCACTGTGGAGATTTGGTTATCGTGAGTTTTTAAACTTAAAACTGATCTTTAAAAAACTACATTTAGCTGTAGTAACTACATTCTTGGTGTGATCTGCTGGCTTTTTGCCTGCAGCATTATAGGTGACTCACAGAACCTGCTCAGGTGGTTGAACTGATGTTTGTTATGCACAGTTTGTCACGCGCTGTCCATCAACTGCAGATGATGGTATTTTTCCAAAGACAGCTGATTCCAGAAGACTGTTCTGTCTAATCCTAATCACTGCTGTATGTTGGATCTCAGAAACATGCCACATCATGGCCTGAATTGTTGTCCGCAGATAACTGTCAGCAACAAAGAGAAATAAAATGCAGTTTCTTCGGTGCTCTGTTCACTGGAGGCCTTATCTTTCTTCCCTACCACAGTCTGACTTTGGTACTTGTGCATAATGCCATTTTGTGCAGTATTGCATGTTCAAAATGTTTTAACTGCTGTCTTGTCTGACTTTGCATATTTGTTGGTTAAAAGCCTTAATGTTTCATGATTAAATCCTATTTGTCCTCCTTCCTGCTTTTCTCCCCCTGTATCCCTAAACTGGTGTTATTGTTTTGTTTCTAGACTCTAATAACAGATGAAGTTCGTCTTCAGGAGTTGAGAGAAAAGCTGAATCAATTAAAAATCATAGCTTGTGTTTGTCTCATAACAAACAATATGGTGGGTGCAGCGATTGCAAACGTGCCTGATTTTGCCAACCTACTGAAAAGAATCTCTGTTCCCCTTCTTGAAGGCATGAGCAAGAAGTAAGGCCTTGTTTATCCCTCTTCATACTTACTTTTTAACAGAGAATACCAAGCAGGTCTAAAAACTCAGGGGAAAACAGTTTAAATGTTAGAGCCACCATTTGTTGATTGTGAATGGCAAAAGGAGGCGTTTTTGGATGGTGCTCTCTGTACTGCACTTCAACTTCTGGTTAGTCCTGAAGTCAGGCAGGCAGTTGGGCTTTGGTGTTTGTAGATCCTTTTGAACTGAACTGTTCTAATACTAGGAGGGCTGCAGCAGTGTATTCCCCAAATCATTTTTGCCAGTTGATTCAAGTTTACTTTAGGAAGCTGAAGTTATACGGCCTCTAATGTTGCTACAGCTTGTGCTACAAGCAAGTATGATGTGATCTCAGAGTGTCTCAAAATAAATAAATAAATAAATAAATAAATAAATAAAACCCCAACAACTTCCATTTTACTTTTTCCTTGTGAAATGCTGTGAATCGAGCCCCAAGGAATGCATAAGCTCCAGGTCAGTGTGAGTCTGTCATTGCTGCATGCTAAAAATGACTTTTTCCAATTGACATCCTTATCTTACAGATGCTAACTTGTCTTATATCTGTAGAAGTGCAGAAATCTGCTGATAATGTTTTTGTATTGTACAATTGCAGAGGGCAGGTTGAAAATGAAGGGGAAAAGAGATAGTAAATTCACTTTGAACTGGTGCAGAAACTGTAAATCTTGTTAATACTTTTCTCTTTTTTTAATCTTCCAGAACTTTTGATTTGAAAGAAGCTCTAAATGCTATTGGTGTTCAGATTTGCATCAAAGTGAATGAGTCTCTCACTGCAAGAGATCTTCCCACTCTTAATGCAGAAATGCAGAATAATTTAATGGGTCAAATCACAAGTATTGTTGAGGAGAATAACCCCGTCAGTTCCTTGATTGGTTAGTAAGAAAATACATCATTGTCTTACTGTATGTGTCTATATAGAAGCTGTTAGATAAATTTTAAAACTTACTGCCAGCAAGCTTAATTAGCTGTTTTAAAAGCACTTTCTAAGTGCAGTAAAATACTGGATTAGCTAAGAGTAAAGAAATATTGCTTACCTGGAGTCTGTGCTCTGGGTATGCTGCAAGGTGTGCTTTGGTGTAGTGAGGAAAAATTCTAAACATGTCCTTAAAGGCCAAGAGATAGCAGAGCTTTGAAGGATACTCAGCCTCTCCTCTGTCATTTTTGAGTTTAAACCCAGAGGGTTTTTGGTCAGTATCTACTACCTTTTAGTGAAAGTACTTCATTGCAACAGGGTATTGCTCTGTCTGCCTCTCAGGAGCCAGCTGCAAAAGGCTTCTCGTATTGCTTCCTTCTGAAAGATGAGGCTTAGGAAAGTGTAGTTACCTCTATTATTGAATTTCTTGTACTGATGTACAGAGCACTTGGGAAGTGAGTGTGTCTTCATCTTGGATTGACATTGTTCTGAGCATACTTGATATTATGTTTCAGATAAACGGATCCAGTTGTTCATGAAAAGCTTGCTTGCTCTTCCAAGCTTTCGGAAATGTATGCCTGCACTGCCAGGAGGCCTTTCTGTGATTCAACCAGAGATGGAACTTGTTGGATCTCAATTTGCAAGCATTGTAGAATTTAATAAACAAGTGTATGGACCGTTCTATGCAAACATACTTAAAAAACTACTTTTTCCTGAGGCAGCAATAGGGAAAGCAGGAATAGAAGCACCCAGTAACTGAAAAAAAAAACCCCAAACTATTTCTGTACCCCTTTCTTTTACCTTTTATCTTTTTTTAATATAGAAATTGTGTTCTGGCTCCCCCACTAAGAATTCCAGTGACTATTAACGAGAGCAATCTTGTAAATTGTAGATGGATAATTTCTGAAATCCACTGGAAGAAAATTAATTTCTATGACATATATATTTTATTGAACTAAGTCTGCTCAATGGATTGTGGCACTTGTATTTCACTTTTTGAGACGAGCAATTATTTGTATTTGTGGTGGGTAGGAGGTGGTGAAGCACTTACTGTTTTGCCACCATTAAAACATAATATTTTAAAAAATATATATTTACATATATTTACATATGCTATTTTGAGATGACAGAATAATTGTAGATAAAATGCATTATGCTTACATTGTATTTTTTAGAGCAGCGTCTAATAAAAAAGAAAATCATGATTCTGAAAAGACTTTGAAGTATGAAAAAGAAATGTAGCATAACTGCTTTTGTAACCAAATCCAGGTTTATAGTAGGCCAACGTCTGGTGCTCCTGTGAATACTGGAACTAAACCTAGCCCCTGCTATGTTCAGGAATGCCAGTATTGCAAGTTGTTCTGGTACAGAAGTTGCAGAAACGTTCATTATTTAAAATAAGAATAATTCAGTAGTTGTCAACTGGACAAGATAGAGAGATGGAACACTTCAGAAACATGATGCCAGGCATGGGGTGAGGTGGGAATGCAAATATCTTATGATACCCATCTAGTGAATATCATACAGATCCCAAGTCTAACCTCTAATATATATGCTTATATTGATCTTAATGGGTATTAAGTATTTTTGAGGTTGGGCTTTCTGACCTTTATTCTTGAAAGCACTTGACTTTGGGAGAGATCTTACAGAGTACAACAGAGAGCATTCGCCTTCTATAATCTGTTGAATAAGGGCCTAGAATGTTCAAAATGTATTTTGGGTACTCTTGTGTCACAAAGCAGACAGCCAGATCCCTTGCAATTCTGGCAAATGTGATCATGTTCACTCTCAGTAGGTGTCAGAGAGAAGAACGTCTTCATTTTAGATTTATATTGTTCTGAATTTGCTTTTCTCAAAATCCCTGCAGATTCAGCCCCAATGCTTGATTCCCATTTAATACAGCAAGAATCTTACATACAGAAATAGAATAGGCTTGGAACTGAGAGATACGGAAGTAAACTTCTGTAAGTTTACATGTTTTATTTTGCATATTTCAGATTACTGGGAATAGATACTGCTGCAATACTTGATATACATGTGTTCTTATCTATGGAAATGAATCATAATTTACTTGAAAATGATCCTTTAGTATATTATCATACAATGGTCCTTTTAAAGTGTCAGATATATATAAATTCCATGTGGTACAAGTTAAATAGCTTGTTTTTAATATTTTATACTACGATATATTCTTATTGATGTGAAGAGTTGCCCATAAAAGCTTAATGTGCCACACATATTATATATATATATTACTATGTCTATCATAACAAAACTGGGCATTATTAGCACTGTGGTTTTGTAGTCCATTTTTACAGAATTGTGTACTCTTTTTAATAAGGGAAATGACTTCTTGTCAGCTGTTCCTCAGTGTCTGAGGACTTTGGCCACATGTACATGGTATGAAAATCATTTTTTGAAAGGCTTTTAGAAAACAAATGGCTGTAGTGCACTTCTGTTCTATCCTTTGTTTTAAAAAAATAAAAAAGGTGTAAAAACTGAATATGTATTCTGAAGGGAACTTCTATGGAAGCCTGAGAAAGGAACTCTTAGAATACAGTAACAGTGCCAGGAGGTAAAATGGATTGATTCAAACAGATACAGAACTTCGACATGCAATTCAAAGTCAGCGAGAGAAGAATGCATTTCAAAAGCACTTACGGGAAGTTAATTCTCTGTGATTTGCTACACCCTTGGAAATACATACATCAAGTTTCAGCCAAAAGATGGTTTTTTTTTAATGGGTATTGGAAGAACATTTATAACGTAACTATGAACTTTAATACAATGTATACATTCTGCTGTTCAAAGGAAAAAAAAATTTGGTGATTTGAAAAGGGCGTTTTATAGCATGGCCTATGTTTCAAGTGCTTGTTTAATGTATCTTAATTTTTATTTGATGTTTCAACCATCGGGATTGCATCTGTTTAATGTCATGTTACTGCATGCTGTTGACGCTACCCTGGCTGAAAAGCACTTGCCTCTGCTCTGAAACTGTCCTTGTGAAACAAGATGCCATTCTGTTACAGCTTCTTTTATCGAAATACGAATTTTTGAAGTTTTGTATGCATTCAATTGTTTGTGATGTCATTGTGCTGAAAAGCCTCTTACGCAAATTGTTTCTGGAATGTAATGGATCATGTTAAATGCTGAAGATAAAGGACTGCACTAATATGTTGTGACACTTTTCTTTTTCTGTAACTTTTCAGTTTCAGCTGGAGCATAGAGCAAAAGATATTACACATTGTGTAATTGCTGTCCTTGACATCTGGCTCTTGATGAAATTAATGTACTCTCTGTGTGATCATAGGTCGCACTGAGGCCCTGGAGCATGTCCAGAGATGGGTAATGGAGTTGTGAAGGGTCTGGAGCACAAGTCTTATAGGGAGCGGCTGAGGGAACTGGAGTTGCTCAGTCTGGAGGAGGGAGGCTCAGGGGACATTTCATTGCTCTCTACAGTGACCTGAAAGGAGGTTGCGGGGAGATGGGGGGCAGCTGCTTCTCCCAGATAACAGTGATGGGATGAAAGGGATTGGCCTTCAGTTTTACTGGGGGAGGTTCAGGTTGGATATTAAAAAAAAAAGTTCTTTTCAGGAAGAGTGGTGCTGCAGTGGCACAGGCTGCCCAGGGAGGTTGTGGAGTCACCGTCCCTGGAGGTGTTTCAAGAAATGTGTGAATGTGGTGCTGAGGTACATGGCTGGGGGGGTGTGGTGGGGGTGGGCTGGCAGTTGGACTAGGTGATCTTAGCAGTCTTTTCCAACCTTATAGATTCTATAGCTACACTCTATGAGGAGTATGTTAATCGTAACAGGCTTCAGACTGGTGGATGAGTGGGGGTAATTAGAAGTTTGTTTTGATTGCCGAGGAATTCCATTAATGTGACGGGCTGGTGGAATATTCGTAAATGAAGTTTTTATTAAAGGTGGTTAATGTATCAATATTGCTTTTTTCCCTTATCTCGATCATCTGCCCAGGTTGGCTAGTTTTGATGGACTTGAGGTATGGCCTGGGCACAGATACAATGTGCTGAGACTGTGCTGAAAGCAGGATGGTTGTTGGATTCTCTTAATAATGCAAAAATAATTCCTGTTCCTCTGTCAGGGCTGCATTTGATGAGTCATATTCTTACATTTTGTAAGCTCAGATTCTGAGATAGTATGCTGTTGCTCTTCTAATTCACCACTCCACTGCTTGTGTCCTTTTAATTAAGGATGAATGACAGTGGGCCTTTGCCCCGTATTGCAATGCATACTAACTGCAGAATAGAAAGGCTCAACAGGCAGAATGGGGTTACATCAAGGAATGAAACAATTACTTGAAACCTTGAAGTACAGAGCATGGACTGAATATGGTTAAGGCCAGGCTGGGAGTATTTCTTCTACATGTGTGGTGTGTGCTGGGGTGGGGGAGGCTATGAAGGGTGCAGTGAAGACTGGGAGCTCTAATGGTTAAAGGGTTTGTAAAAATGAAGCCTTTGGTTATTGATTTAATTCATTTCTCCCACCTCCTTTGGTGGGAAATTGGTAAAGGAAGAAGAGAGAGAGAAAGAAGAGCATTAAACTTCAGTTTGCTGCATGGATTTGCTCAGACCTGATTGCAAATATTTGTTTACAGAGCTTGTTGTGCCTCAGCTCTGTTCCATGTAAAGCCGAGACTTTGTGGAAAACTAAGGTTGGAGAGTTGAGATGACATTCATCCCCATGCTCCACACATTCAGAGAGCCCTCAGGATGCAGCCCTGGCTCTGGCAGCTCCTCGTGTCCTAGCGTTCATTGCCACCCTTGGGGACATGTCCCCACCCAGCTCACCTCTTCTGCTGCACGTGCACCCTGTGGGGCTCCAGCTGCCTGAGCCAGACAGGTCAGGGAAATGCAAGTGATGGCTGTAGGGATGTGCAGTGAGGGCCACTGCCAGCAGTGCCCAAGGCACAGCCCAGCACCCACGACAAATGCTTGCTCCAAGCCTCGCACACACACACTTGGTGGGAGCCCAGGCATAAGACTTGGTGACATCACAGCCCGCTGCTCGGTGATGTCACTGACCAGCAGGCCCTCGCTCAGCCATGGCGGTTTCCTGCCTCCTCTGTGGAATTCCTCATGCTAGAGGCAGGAGAGCTCTTTCCCCAACAGGATGAGCCCTGCGGTTTGGCACCTCCTGTAGCAGATGAGAGAAGGCTCCTCAATTGCTCCCCCTGGTTTGGGTGGCTATAGTGGACCCCAACCACCAGATGTCCTTTGTCTGGTGCCCAGTTTTAACCCACAGATCTCAACCAGGTTACAGATCCTCACACCCACAGGTCACACAGACCCCAGCCCACATGCAGACTTTTCCCCTGAGCGTGAGTAGCCGTGTAAGTGTGGAGTCAGCAATGTTGTCACTGACCCATTATCATGAGGAGAACAGGCTGGAAAAATACAGACTCCATAACTTTGGTGTATAAAAATTGTGCAGATCATTTTGTGCTTGCGTGTGACCTATGGAAACCCACCAGCACCCAGGTTTGCAATCCTGAAAGAAATAAGCAATGTCTCCTCTGAGCATGTGATGAGTGACTCGTTCGTTGCACACCGGGAGGCGAATCTGCTTTTAGGACAACAAAACCAGAAAAAAAAAACAAGCGGAGCCATTCAAGGGAAGATTGAATTGTTTGGAGCATTTGTGCGCTAGGAACAAATCATTCAGCCGCGCGAGGCCGGACCGCTTCGGAACTGCCCGTGCCCGGAACGTTCGGGCTCCGCGAGGAGGAGCAGGGAGCCGTTTGGTCGCTACACCGCGGCACGCTCCGCCGGGTCCGCCGGGTGAGATGGAGGCGCTGGCGGCGGAGTTGGGCGCCGTGACGGCGGAGCGGGCGGCGGCCCCCGTGAGCGCAGTGGAGGTGAGGGCAGCAGCGGAGGGCAGGAGGCAGGGGGAAGCCGCGGGGCGAGGAGCGGCGATTCTTCTGCGGCAATAGGGTGACCTGAGAGTGCTGCTGGCGCCTGGGTGTTGCCCCTGGTCGGTGTTGCGCAGCACGTGGGGCTGCTGAGATGGTCCCAGTCATCCCTCGGGGTGTTTCTGCTCGTCTGAGCTGACTTTGGGCGGTCTTTTATTCTTTCCTAAGTGACGTGAAATGTAACTACTGTCAAAAACCATTACTAGCTGTCATATATGTTTGGTCACCCTTTGGTAACCAACTTTCCCGCTGTGTGTTTTGGTTGCAGGAGAAATGGAGGCTCCTACCCGCGTTCCTCAAGGTCAGTGGATGCACCGCCCCAGGCGGGAACACCCTGAGCTCTTTGTGCTTCACAGTTCTGGCAGGGCAGTGCAGTTGTTTAGGCTCCTACTGCACCCCAACGCCCTCCTCGTGGTCTTTATATCAGCTCCCTGCAAGCACTGCTGTTGGATCTGCAGTTGTCTTTGTTGCAGGGAAACCCAGATATGCATTCTGCAGAGGCTGCAGTGTGCGGATATCTCTGCTCACAAATACCAGAGCTCGGTTGAGTGCCAAGATTGCTTGATTTCAGTGCTATTCTCATAATCTGGTGTGAGGTAAAGGCACAGTTCTACTTAAAATGAATTGCAATAACAGGTAGTTGGCAGCTGGAAGTGAGAATGGAAAGGGGCAGAGTGTGGTGAAAGTACTGTGTGGTGAAGGTGAAGCCTATGATACACACAGGTACCTCTGCAGAACAGCAGCCACCTCTGCACCTCTCTAATCAGTTTCTGGAAGTGCTGCCTCCTTCAACCAGGCATCTTTCAGCCTGACTTAGTTAATTCCCTTCCTTCTCAGTGTACAGTCCCTGCAGCCTTTTTTTTTTTTTTTTGTGGCATCGTGATCTTGCAGGAAAACAGGGTGCTGTTGGTTCTGTGATACTACATATGGGCAAGTGCTCTCTCTTCCTACCTAGAAATCAAATTCAGATTTATTATGAGAGTCTGTCTTGTCCTTGTGTGGCTGTTCCCTTCTTTATCAACTTCCTTAACATCCCACTTCTCTGCTCTCACTGGCTCCCTCTCATTCTGGCAGCTGCCTTTCCCAGGCTGCAGATCACTGCTTTCTCAAGTAACACAAATGGTTAGTTGTGCTACAAAAAGACAAAAGATATTTTGACATGCAGTCACTATCTTCTGCTTATATAACTTCAGAATCTGCTTGGTGCTTGCTTTTGCATTTCCTGAGTTACTTCTCTGTTTCAGCTCTGGTGTAGACTTGGAAACATATAGTGTGGAACCAGACAGATTGTTCAGACAGTTCTAAGAAATTTGTCCACCAAAAAAATTTAACAGTGATTCAGAAGCACTTATAAATGCTTATATTTCAATTTCAAGTCTGCCTTATATGATCAGTGTTATTAAAGCTGATGCTATTTGCTGCATGCATGTATTTTTCAGGTGAAAGGACTTGTGAAGCAGCACATAGACTCATTCAACTATTTTATCAACGTGGAGGTATGTTTTCCTGGTGGGAAGGGGCTGGCTGTTAGTAGTCAGAAAAAAAAGAAATGATTCAGTTCTTTTTTCTTTTTCTTTTTTTTTCAGATAAAGAAAATCATGAAAGCCAATGAAAAAGTGACAAGTGATGCTGATCCAATGTGGTACTTGAAGTAAGCATAAAGCTGGTTTCCCTATCAGGAGTAGCTTGCATAAAGTTACATGGGTTTGTTATTGACTGTGAAGTGTTTACAAGCATCAGCCTGGGCGTAAAAGAAGTAAAGCTCTTGCATGCTTTCCCCTTAGTTGGAGCACGTACACACAGATGCTTACATAATAATTCTGATAAATAGAATTATCTCTGTTGTTAACAATGCTTTATGTCACTATCTTTCCATAACTTAGCAGTTTCAGGTGGTGGAGGGGAATCTCCATTTCCCTTTTTGCAAAGGTGATCTGGGTTTATTTTCGTATGTGCAGTTTAAGTTTTAACTAACTATAACAGTGTTCAAATACAGTGGCTTACTTTGGGAAGAATCATTGCTTATTGTTAATCAACCTACTTTCACATCGAAGCAAATTCATTTTCTACTTGTTGTAGAACTCCTTTTCCTTCAGGTTGCCCGGAAGACATTTGGCTCATTTTGAGATTGTTTTGTGTTACAGATACCTCAACATCTATGTGGGTACTCCAGATGTGGAAGAAAGTTTCAATGTGACGCGACCTGTATCGCCTCACGAGGTACCGATATTTGTGTCTGTGAGGGG